ATTACTTATTATTGACCACTTACCTGTCATTCAGTTATTACTGCGAAGGGTATGATTAAACCTATTTACTATGATTATTATTATTAATAGTGGGGACACTGGTGAAAAATGCACTGCGCATTTCCACAGCTTTCCCGCTGAAATCTGCCTAATTTTCTTTGTAAAGGGGTTTTTGTGAAAGTTTTTTACAATTTATAAGCTCGTTCACTGATATATAAGATTCATATTCCCATCAATCGTTGTTCATGATAGTTTCTTTTAGTATGTAGTTTCTACTTTTATCTTGTTATTTCTACTTTGAGAAAATGAGGTTTTTTGTAGTGTTTTCTGAGTTGTCGCTGTAAATCGTCAGGCACTCTGTTTACAGATTTCAAGACGCGCGCGCTCACTGGCGGGAAAGCTTTGGGCATGCGCAGTGCGTTTTTAACTAGGTCAATAATTGGCAGTTTGAATTTTCTGATTCCTAACTTGAAATTTTCCGACCAAACCCTATTTCGCTAAAACGTACRGTCAAGAAGTTGGCTTCCATTTTGAAGTAAATTCAAACTTTTGAATGTTATAGAAAGAAAGAAAATTCAGAGTTTCCTTCAGAATTTCCTTCAGAATTTCCTCAATTTGCTTCAAAAAGCACAATGAAATCAAGTGTATTAATTGAAGTTGCATATGCTTGACATAAAGAAGATGCACGGGATATGTTTGATACGATAAAAAGAACATGCCATGGCCAGAAATTCCGGACATTTGAGCCCGKGACGAGTCAGCGRGTTTTCCCACCAAAATAACGCTTTCTAACAAGTTCCCTTGACAAGGTTCGAACTTTTGAAGATCAAATTTTCTACTCTTGTGAAACGATCCTTTATCTTAATGCAATACTGGGTTAAAATCGAAACGTTCAAAACATCGACAAACGAGTATTGGGATAGTACGCCCTGATCCTTGAGTTCATAGTGGCTTGTGAGGTGCTCGTTTGGAATGTTCATAGTGTAAATAATTATTATTTGCTGGAACACACGTTCGCCTCAGGTATTTTAAACAATGATCATCTGTTGATATTGTGATCTTTTGTTTATACTTTTTTTGATCCGTACATTTCTTTGTAAAATTTAACAAACATGTTTTTGTGCTTTATGCGAAGTACAGCTGCTATTGCGGGCTCGTATGTCCGAATTTTCTGGCCATGAAATATTATGGAACAGCTCAAAAATATCATTCTCAAACTTTTGGATTTTAACGATATTGCAAACCACTTTAAAGAAGGTGATTTTTTTTTCACGTGATTGAATAGAGAAATCGCTATTGGCTATGACTCTGTAAGTTGGCTTTTAATCTCTAATAGTTCTATATTTGTTTACCGCTAAAGGTCTGGAGTTCGCTTATTCACAAGCGCCAGCATCCATGAAATCGTGTTTACAGGCCGCTTGGTTGCTAACAGTTGCCTTTGGAAACCTTGTGGTTGTCATTGAGGCGGAAACTCATGTTTTTGATAAACTTTCCACTGAGTTCTTTTTCTTTGCCGCCATGTTGGGTGTGGTCATGGTGATTTTTTTAGTTATGTCATTGTTTTATAAGTACGTTCAAGCAGAGACCGCTGAAGAAGAGGATAATGAAGGCATTGTAAACGAAATGGAGTCTTTTTGACCCAGCATTCTTAGTAAATAGCAAATAACGACCGAATGCACTCATAATTTGTGTAAATCATATAATTTCAGCAAGAGCTGATTCTTCCATGTTTCTTTTTGGACTCTTGTTAAATGGAAGTTTGAGCGCAGAAATTCAATACACGGTTCAAAGGCGTCGTGCCGGCCCAAACAGGAAATCATAGTGTCGTCAAAATAGGTTCGACGCTATATATCCATATTGAACTATATGTCGAACCAAATTAGAACAATCAAAACAATCATCCATCGTCGTTACGCATTTTGCCGTGTTCACAATTGCATTTGCAAGACGTTAGCTAAACTCTATGTCGATCGAGATTTTTTGAACTGCCGAGACGAGACTCATCTATTTTTGAAACTCAACTCTGGTTTCATGCGTCGATCAGCAATTTACACGTATTTCTAAAAACGGTGGGAAGAACGGCGATTGTCGAAGTGAGAATGCACGACCGAAAGGGACTATGGCTATACTGTTTAGACAAACACTAAAACTTTACTTATTGGATTCACCTTGCATAGAAATGGAGAATAAATAAAACCATGTTCACCACAGATTATTTTAAACTACAAATTAGTTGTTTATTTTCATTTATTAGCAAAACCCATGGGTACTTTTGGTCATGCAATCGCCGTTCGACATTTAACATTCGACATTTTATAGGACAGCCTTTGTTGAAATAGGTATTTAGCTATTTCAAAAAAGGTTGTCGGATAAAATGGCGAATGTCAATGGTCGAAYGGCGATTGCACGACCGAAAGTAGTCATGGGTTCTTCTAGTTGAAATGCAATAACAACTGATTTTTACTGTAAGATGGTCTGTGGTAAACATTAGCTCCATTTAGTCTCCATTTCTATGTAAGGTAATCCAATAAGTGAAATTTTGTTTATCAAAACAGTGTAACCATAGTCCTTTTCGGTCGTGCAATCTCCCTTTCAACGATGTCCCCGACAACGTTTTTTGAAAAAGCTGTATGTATAACCACATAAAGCTTTTTCGTTTGGCGAAATGAATGACTGGGATAGATATTTGTTGTAGTGCTCATTCACAATCCATGAACATCTTGATTTAATAGAGTGGTTTTCACTAACCCGCTGTGAAATACATATAGATTTCTTCATGGAAAGTGCTGACGTACGGGATTTTCGCACGAGTTGGTGATGAATCTAAAATCGAACGAGTGAGCGTAGCGAACGAGTGACATTTTAGATTCAAAACCAACGAGTGCGAAAATCCCGTACAAAAGCACTTTCCATGATGAAGTTTGTTTATTATATACATACTGAGATTTTATAGCGTCTACTTGAGCGACTTTTGTGCATTTTAATGACGGTTTTGTCTTACAAACTCRCTTTAAGTTATTTGAGATCAAACTACGATACAATTTAAATGCTGAATTAGATAATTATAAATAAATCACATCAATAACTTAGTTTACAGTCAATTTTCATTCACTGACTATGATAAAAATAACGAAAAGCTACATTAGAAGAAAGTGCAACAAGCCTACAAACCTTAATCAATGAAACTGTTTACTTTCTATCGCCGTCGTCGCAAATCAACTTYTATGGACGCGTTTTATCCATATAATAGTGTTCTGTTTTCTATACTTCTGTTGAAGATGAAGTACATCTAGGACTTATATCTAATACTGAGAAATTTGACATATAAAATACAGCTTCTTTGAATAGTTCTACTGCTGGCGACGGTGGTTGACTTCACAAGCGCGGGTTTCAGTTTCAATTCAAACATCGAAGTTGTGCTGGAACTGAGTGAGTTTTCGCTGTGGTCTTGGGAAAAATACTGGGAATATTTGCATTAATTCTTTTAGATGTCGATTAAAACTTGAAAATATATCTTAAGGACCTGCTGGTTCAGAAACTTCAGTGTCTTTAGGCTTCACAATTATAATGAAGTCGCAGAGATGTCAGAGATGTATTCGTTCAGCTATTTGCTTTCGGTCTCTTGGAATTGGATTTCTTTGCTTAAGACTTTTTCTCTCGGTGGAAATTCATCGAGTTTGCTTTTCATCACTCGCCGTTTTAGCTGTTGAATTTCTGTTTTTCTCCACACAATATTAGTTGTCAATTCACTTTCTAAAATGCCTTGTCTCTAGTCATAAGAAGCTTGAAGTTGTTGATTGAATTCCGTGGTACGTTTTCACAAGTCTTTCCTGATTGGACGAAACGCTTTTTGCACGTGTGAGAAATTCGTTTCGCTCCTATGATTGGCTAGTTACGTGGGCTTCCTGTGGAAGTCCACGTCTAAAAATGCAACTGGCGTTTTCGTCGTGGTGGTGAATATTACGCTTCAAATTGGTGGCGCATCGATAGCGCATGCGTTGCAGTCTCAGTTTCCATGGAGATGTCAAAATAAACCAATCAGTTTGGTAGCGCCTGCGTTGCAGATGGACTGCAGTCTCAGAATGAAAACAAAATGGCTGACAGACGGCGGCAAAAAGTTGTCTCGTTTCAAATGGTTCTAAAATATAGCTAAAATGCTCTAAAGAGCTGAAAATCTTACRAAATCAACTGATTACCATCCAAACGACATGGATTGAGGTATATAATTCAAGATTAGCGGATGATTCGTGCAGAAATGACTGGGCATTTTCTACCGCCGACTCGAAGAGCAGTACTTCTTCGTCACACAAGTGTTCGATGTCAAACACAAAATCTTCAAAAATAAGAAATCACATGGATATTTAAGGTTCATACTTTGACAGAAAACAATTATTCGACGGAATAAAGCATATCAAACCTCATCTGAAAAATATTGATGCCATTTTCTAAACTAACGATGTGTTTGAAGTTCGGAAAACTGCACGTGTGAGCTTTACTGAACTCTGTATACAAAATCTATATTGTGTATGAAGCTTTTTTAATTCTCTATTGTTTGTTTTGATGATTGTTTAACTTGAAAAACTTAGACAAATCCAAAAAAATTAACTGTCATTAGAAGGCTAAGGTACACCTTTATGATGGCACAGAACTCCAGATTTACAAATTAATGAAAAACACCAAATAAAAAAGAACAGAAACACAAGATACAGATACATGATTCAAATGATCAAAATATTATTCAAAGTTATACTGCCAAGACTGTACCGTTTCTATTGTTTATGTGACCTATATCATATTTTGAATAATATAGACGCTCTTGAGCGTAAAGTCGAGCTAGTTATTTTTGAAAACTGAGAAAAAAGACATGGTATCCAAAGAATTTACTTAGAGTTCAGTTCGGTAAAAAATTATGATGTAATAAATTGATAACATATTAACTTAATTCTGYCTTGACTTATTACAAACAAAGACTATCTTGTGAAAATGAAACACCATTGTCACAGGAAGCCCACGTAAGCGATCCATGATCGTCTAGTTAATATTTTGAAACGGATTTTCAAATAGAAATATATGTGAGAAAATCTCAGTATGTATATAATAAACTTTATTCCTCTTTTTTCTGTCGTCTTGTGCTTTCGGTCTTACACGTGGACTATTACACTTTGTTTCACGGGTTGAATTGGTTTTCATTTCCGTGAAACAAACTTAAATATTCTACAATTTATCAACTTTATATTTTGCACGTTATTTTGCACGCCAGTGTAAACAGGACTTAAGAAAAAATACAGTAAGTAGTAAGCAGAAGTTGAGTGAATTGAAATTAGATTTATTATGTTAATCCAATATTGGATTTTTTTTAATCAATACATTACATATTCATTGTCATTTATATAAATAAAAACGTATTGCCTTCTATAATTAAATACCTAATATTCAATTTATATATATATATAACAAAATATTTTAGGCACTTTTTTGATAATATTAATAATAATTATAATAATATTCGTCTATAGAGAGAAAATATTACACTCGTGCGCCAGGACACGGATGTTTTCGTCTACGAGTATTTCATTGATATCTCCACAAGCGAGAGAAGCAAATTAGATACCAATTGAACAGGGGAAGATGAAGTTCGTATCTTCAAGCGCTCATGCAATGACCTGTTTATTATATAAACTCCAATTATATCTCACAACGACTCCAATTATATCTTACAACGTACGTAAGAATAATAAAACACTGTACGAGCTAAACATGGTAACATATTATATTCGAGTGTGAAAGATAATGGAGCTAAATATTCCTGGTATTTAACTGGAGTTTATATAATAAACAGGACAACTCCCTCAAAACGCAATTAAAATAGTTGTAAATAAATGTCTTCTAGTTATAATAAGTATATTTACAAAGTACAAATAAGTCCGAGAAAAATAACAACCTACATTCTTTCTTCCTTTATATGTTTTTTCTTTCTATTTATATGAAATATATCCCAGGTATAGGCCTGGGCCAAACGCCGAACTTATCAGTGTTGAACTTAGTTTTGTACAAATTTCTTTCTATGACCCTTTTTTAAGATGTTTTAAAAGACAGCATGTTTACTGTCAAATGGTATTTTATGTAAAAACACTGTAAAAACTATGTGCTTTCAAAAACAATATACTAACGAATAGAATTGGAAAGTTCAAAGTTGAAATTGAGTACAAGAGAAGTACGTCATAAGAATCTCTACTAATGCAAAAGAGATCAAAACAAAAGAAAAACTTTGCACGTTAAGCGATAGAAATTTGAATTTGGTACGGCAAAACTCAGTTTTGTTCGGCGTTAGACGGCATATTAAACGTCTCGTGAACTTACATGCAAGTAATTCACGAGACGTCTAAAACCGGCCTTGCAACGCAAAAAGTCAATGTCATCCCGGCAAGTGCAGCGGTTCAAGTCGTAGTTATTATTAACGTTCCAAGAACAAGAACACTAATCAAAGTGGATGCCTGCTTCCCTTTACTACCCCCACTTGCAATTCCAGGATTCGTTCTGTTACCTTTGTTCCGTATACTGTCGAGTGAAGCTATTGGCAATGGCTTAACCTCAAGGGTCACGCTGTGCCTGGCAAGTTCAATTTTACCCCATCGCAACACAGAACAAGTGAAAGTTCCATTATCACGGCCTGTCACCGATTGAAGCGTGATGTTACCATCTACGGCTACACTTATACTTTTGTCATTGACCTCGTAACCATGAACGTCGATCGTAGCAATTTTGCGCGACCCCTTTGTCCATATGAGCTTGATGGTCTCGGAGTGTGTTTTAAGCAGTGAGTGATATGGACATACCAACTCTACATTTTCTTTAGCGAAGACGGATATTTTTTCAATGCAATTCATTTGATTCAACTTGATTGTTAAACGTTTAGGTGTTTGGCCTCCATCACTATATAGTGCACAGGTATATTGATGAATGTCATCAAACGCTGGGGGAACAACTAATGCTCCTAAAGTTTTATTTAGAGTTATTCCTCTGTATGCTTTGTTGAAATACCTAATAAGAAAGGAATAATATCAAAATACTCAGACATAGTATTATTGCTCATATTTATTTATTTATATATGTATTTTTAAATTTATTTTTTATCTTGTTGCTGCTTGGTTGTAGTATTTGTCTGGTTGTTTATTCAAGCTTTTCTTTTTGTGTGTGAAGAAACTTCAATTATTATATAATTACTTGTAAAGCCAAGGGGATGACATCAGTATCAGGTTTTCGAAAAGCGGTTATTTTCACATTCCTAGTTAAAAGATCACATCTGTGATAGGTTTGATATTTTCTCTCTTCGCTATTGTTTTTGTCGGCGCGAAGCTCCGTAATCGAGGCCGTAAGGATTTTCGCTCGGCCTTACGGCCTCTATTACGGCGCTTCGCGTTCGCGCCGACAAAAACAATAGCGAAGAGTGAAAATATCAAACCTCTGGGACCAGGGTAATATTGAAATTATATAGAACTTTTTTCGACAGGATAAATTTACTTTCATGAAAGCTAAGTGCTCAAAATTTATTTGGTAAAATTCAATAAAGGTTCTAGCATGGAAATGCTTGCACTGCTTCGGGCAGTGCAAGAAATATAATTTTGAAATCGTCCACCCCTTCCTTAAACTCTTATAGCTACAATCTCCTTCAAAATAAAATGAGTCACGTCGATTTCTTACCGCTTTAGTTCCCTCCCCTCCAGTCAATGTTGAATCCACGCTACAAAAAGTTCCCATTTCCCGGGAATACTTAGCGAAGCCATCCTCTCAACTTTGTATCAGGGGCAGGGAGTAAGCGACACATTTATTTTGCGGAAGATTGTAGCCTCTATAATTTAGCATCTCAATGCGACCATGTAATATCCTGTACAATCAATTGATAATGCAATGCAAATGAAAAATATAATAATGCGAGAACAACAAATGAAAATGAAACAAATTGACATACGTTGTGTCTAGGTGTCGGTTGGCTTCGAGGATAGTAGTTTTTCCATGCGTCCAAACAAGTTTGTTGTGATTGAAATGTCGATATATCGGACATTCGATAATGGCGTTGTCTCTAATGCAAACATCTACTTGACATTGTACAGCTATCAGATGGTATTTTTTGCGGCGGCCGGTCTCATCAACGCACATATAAATACCATTGTGTTTTGCCTACGGGAAAAAAAATAATTTGTCATTAGCTCACTATGGTTTAACGTTGGCAGCGATTCAGAAAGCGATATTGACGCGACGGCATAATGACCGTCACTTTCTTTTCATTGTGAAAAATGGAACAAACTTCTACCATACTTATCTGAAGCTGTCATAGCTTAGCTATCACGTTCTTTTTGTCAAAATTCAGATAGTTTAACTCTCTTCCTTTTTGTTCTCTTTTTTCGTTATTTTTTTTGTCTTTTGTTTGTGTAATTATAAGTATATGTTACAAAAAAAAAAAAAAAAAAAAAAATCTAGGGTACCACATCTATTGCGGTGCTCATCAAGTTGTAAATTGTTTAATCGTAGAAAGAATTGTAAATGTTTTTGTGTTATTGCAATGAAATAAAAAATTAAAAAAAAAAAAAATAATAATAATAATAATAATGATTGTCACTAATCATCATATTATACAATTTTACAATTATATAATTATAAAACGTTTTCGAATAATGTCATTTTTTTGTTATTTTTATGGTATATGTTTTGTACAGCATATTATGTCACTAATTATCGTATTATCGTTTAAATTTATAATGTTAACAAAAGAACTCCCCAGATGATACTGTGCTAAAAGTTAAAGATAAGTTCAAACAGTTTCGCAGAAAACTATTAAATTGTCTTTGGACATTATCAAAAACAATAGAATACTGTTAGTTTTTTAAGAAAAAAATCACAAACACGGCTTGATATAAGACATACACGCACTAAATTGAGGTTTATAAAACTTAAAATGATAATATAAAGTAAAAAAAAAACAGTTTCTATAAAAATGTTTCACCACTTTGGGCTCCCTGACTGCTTCCCAGCATGTAATGAACGCTTCGAAATGCAAAATAGCAGCATAGCGATTGCTGTGGTGTGTTTCAAATGTTTTTTTTATGCGTTTTTTTGAATTTTTAACGAGATATCATGGCGACTTCTAGCCTAGAAAGTAACTAAAGTTAATACTTCGTTGGAACCTTCAAAGTAGTTTTATTTCGCAGTCTAATTAAGCTGTTTTGAATCAGCTAAACACTCATCTGGAGAAGCTGTTGTACAAGTTGACGATTTCTACTACTATACTCTTGACTAAGGTATGCCAAATAATAGCTTATAAGAAAGGAGAATTAGCCTTTAAGTGCAGAAAAAGAGGATAATATACTAGAAGCTCTTTAGTTCTAAAAGTTTTACATTATGCAGCCACTGCATTCGCGATTTATATTATTCGACGTAGACCTGGGAGAAATGTAAAGAATTAGATTTCTTATTTAGGAAAGTTTACATTCTCCCATACATTTTATATGGCTGTTTGGCCGCCTTTGTTATGCAAATGTGCATGCACAACGCCATTTTGGAGGCGGGTTTGTAGTACGTATTCCATATATGGCACAAACTAACAAGCGAATAGAAGCACCTAACAAGCGAATGGAAGCACCTAACAAGCGAACAGGGGTCCATACTTTTTTCACTTGTATATTTTTCTACAGTTTTTTATCGACTTATTCGAGCTTTTTAGCTACTTAACTTATTAAAAATTTTCTTATCAAATTTTAACTTATAATTATGAATTTAACATTTTATAGCCTGACCCGTCCTTTTCCCTAAACCTAACCCTTCGACTGCAAATGTAAAGCGCCTTAACTAACTTGACCACGAGAGATTACGCTGGCAAACAACGAATTGTTTGTGACATTTAAAGTATTTTGCATTGCTAATAGCACCGGTAAATTGGGATCCCTTAGGGGCCGCTATTCGCTTGTTAGGTGCTTCTMTTCGCTTGTTAGGGGCCTCTATACGCTTGTTAGTTAATACCATATATGGAATACGTACGACAACCCTACCTTCCATTTTTAATTTGTCCAAAATGGCTGGCAGTGAGGAGGCAAGTAAAGCAGCAAAAAGAAGTCATACAAATCCTTGTATTTTTATTCCTCCATGAGTTCGTTATTCTAGTATAGTCTAGTACATTTAAGCTCCAACACTTTCTGAAAATACTTAATTCTGAGTATAAACAGTGTTTCAGAGACAAAAGAAACTGAGCGATGCTCTAATACAGAACTATGATGTGTAGGAGGCATTCTGGAATTATGCGCCGAAAAAAATCAACATTATGCGGGATTTTCATGGATGATTATGCGGAATTATGCGCAAAATTATGCGCGAAAAACGTCATCCTTAAAACCTAAAATATAACTAATTTCGTTGGAAATATTACGCATTATTGATTAATGACTCTTTCCAATGTAATAAAAGCAATTAGCTAAAAAAAAAAGCAACAACGACGTCCGCCATCATGGAAACCGCTAATTGCTGGAACCTGGGCCGAGTCACAGGAAACCCATCACTAAATGAATCATAAAAACAAAATGGCGTCGCATGGATGTATGGCGTCCGTTTCATTTTTGTTAAAAAAATGATACTTTAGTGCTTTGTATGACGATAGAAAAAGGGGAAAAAACAATACTCAAGCCAGACGCAAGATAGATAACATATATATTGATTTTTTTGACAAATTATGCGGGATTATCCAGAGAATGGCTGATTATGTTGGTCCGCATCAGCGCATAATTCCAGAATCCCTGGTTTAGGTAATATTTACATTTCTGAGTAGTGTTATCTGAATCCCCACTAACCACATCACCCAACCCACCCCACTTCCCATCMTAAACCCACCACAACCACCACCAGCGACCCGACATAGTTTATTCAGTTAGAGGTATTGGGGCCTGTCAATAATATCCCAAACAATTTTGTGATATCATATAAATTCATCTACAGCAACTTACCTGAAACGAAGAAATAGTTAACTGGTTGTTCTGGGTGATTCCTAATACACCCTCGAATTGATTTGGTGCTGAACTAGATATAATTGTCCTGTTATCTAACCAGTTTGTTAGATGTATCTGGCGGGACGACCCGGCTTTCACAATAAACTTCCAAACTGGTCGGTGATATGGACAAGAGAGTTTTACTTCTTTGCCCATACAAGGGTTCTTTAATGAGCTGGCTACGTATTGTAGAAGTAGAATCATGCATAGTGAAGTTATGATCTTCATCTTAATCTATATGAAAGAAAAAAAATGATGTGAATTGAGCTAATTTTTATTTATTTATTTATTTATTTATTTTTAGCCCGAATACCTACACAGAATCCAGATCAGTTCCTGGGTTCTGAGTTTCAAGTCGATGAAGTAATTTGTAAGGTTTGTGTAGTCAACCATATTAAATAAAAAAATTATGTAGAACTTTCTTCCTTTTTTTATCTTATTTTATTTATATTATATTTTTTTCGTTTCATTTTGTATATCCCAGATTCCACTTATTCATCCGGGAATGGGTTTCCAAGTGTATAGATTCCGGATTAAAGACAAAAATTTTGTTAAATCATTGGGCGAATGTTTTGGATGCTTGAGTGGAGCAAATCAAGGTTGATTGACACAAAACTGATTCCTCGATGTATGTGACATTTACAAAAAAAAAAAAACAGAAAAAAAATTACATTAGACAAATATGCACGTACTCGAATGAATGATATTTTTGTGTTTATAAGCATTATTTGTGATAAGTTATTTAAAACCTCATCAATAAGGAAACTGTGACGCTTGTCGTGTGTCAGCAGCTTTCCTTTTATTATTGACCTTTTTCAAGTACCTGATGCTCTGACTGATAGGCATTTTTAGGTCGTCCACACATTGCGTTTTATGAAATAACCATTGTATAAAGAGTATGCACTGATCGTCTGCACACGAGCGAAAAGCACGGCAAATCATGTTTTTATACATATGAGCATTAAAAGACATCTTTCAAGCGAATAATCACTACATTGTTGAATTGTTGTTATCTGATGTTTAATTAAGGAATAAAAGACGAAATTCCRTGTTTGATACTCTGATCAAAACACGCGGGATGTAGGGAGAGCACGAGAGAAGCGTAGGAAACCACGACGCGTAGCGGAGTGGTTTCCAGCTTTTCGAGTGCTCTCCCTACATCCCAAGTGTTTTGATCAGAGTATCAAACACGGAATTTCGTCTTTTATTTCTTTTCTAAAATTAAAAGAATACAAACGGCGGGAAAAAAGAAATTTTTGACGCGCGCGAGCGTGTTTTGATACTGTAATCAAACATGGTTTTCGACCAATCACAGCGCGCGTAGTATCCTTAATATTTTAGAATATCCTATAAAATATTTCAGCTAATGATAACCTTTTTTCGTGTTCTCCCGATAAACACGCGTATCTCTGACAGAGAATGAAAACCGAAAATATTTCCTATCCTCAATTTGAAAATAAGCTAGAGTCACGCAATGGCACTTTTGACTAAAATTAAAACATTGGATTATTGACGCTAAATTAAAAACGATTTACTGATATGCTTGAGACGACTTTTAAAGGTCCTATGCAGCGTCCATAAGTATATGATTTTTTTTATACCAACAAAAAATATGATTACTCTTGAAGATATAAATGTATATTTGAAGCTTTTAAACTAAGCGAAAATCCGGTATTTTTATCCYCGAATTTCGTGAAAATACTTGACAAGAGCCTGGTGACGAATGACGTCATTGGTTGTGTTCGATGTCAACGAGACAAAGCGAATACTTGACCTTTTGTGGGCTGTTTCCAAGAAATGTTTGTTTAACATTAATTTT